CACCTGTCTGTCCATCCAACTTTTGTTAATAGGTCAATCTCTTTGTAATAATTGTATACTGTGTCTTTGTAATTGTATATTCAATACGTAAGTCTAGTATTGATGTAAAATTACTATGTGAATGTCTTGGTAGGCTAGCATCCGATGCGGGCCAACTAAAAGCCCAGCGGGGTACCGTAGTGCGGCGGGGCAACACCTGTAAAAGTCACTGACGAAGTTCTGGTGCTCCGTCCACTTTTCCCTGTCCCTGTTCCTGCTCCACCTGTCTAATGAAGCGATGCCAGAAGGATCAAACGGAGTACCGTTTAGTTGTTGGCTTAGACACAACTACTCACACTGCACTCACGCTACATCCAGTGGCGTAAATAAGGGTATGCAAGGAATGCCATCGCATAGGGGCCCGAAGGTTTAGGGGGCCTTGAATGTCCTGTTGAACTACATTTACATGTTTAAATTTAAATGAAGACAGATATATGTAATAGAATCCGTCTTCTTTAAGTTTTTAAGGGTCTGCTACCTGCCATATATAGACGCAGATAGAGGGCCCTTGCAAACACATAAAGCAGTTGAACTCAGTGTTGCACTGAATACAAAACAATGAAGCTGTATGCCTTTGTTCTGACTCTCCTCTAGAGGAGAGCTTATGTTTTATTATCTATTTCCTATTTTGTAGAACAAAACGAATTTTTTTATTAATACAAAACAATGAAGCTGTATGCCTTTGTTCTGACTCTCCTCTAGAGGAGAGCTTATGTTTTATTATCTATTTCCTATTTTGTAAAACAAAACGAATTTTTTTATTAATACAAAACAATGAAGCTGTATGCCTTTGTTCTGACTCTCCTCTAGAGGAGAGCTTATGTTTTATTATCTATTTCCTATTTTGTAAAACAAAACGAATTTTTTTATTAATACAAAACAATGAAGCTGTATGCCTTTTTCCTGACTCTCCTCTAGAGGAGAGCTTATGTTTTATTATCTATTTCCTATTTTGTAAAACAAAACGAATTTTTTTATTAATACAAAACAATGAAGCTCTATGCCTTTGTTCTGACTCTCCTCTAGAGGAGAGCTTATGTTTTATTACCTATTTCCTATTTTGTAAAACAAAACGAATTTTTTTATTAAGAAACTCGACGATTTCAAAGCGAGCAAGGGCAACACTGAACGGGGGGAGAAAGAAAATTATCTCCAAAGCGAGGGGGATTGTGTATCGGAAATTCTAAAGAAATGCTCTTTTTAAATATTTTGCGATATTGCTGTTTAATTTAATTTTATGGGTTAAGTGCGAAGAACATGATACTTAATAAATAAAGATGACACACAAAACGTTAAAAAAGGCCCCCTTGGGCGTAATGTAAAATCTGAAAGCATTCGGATTTTCTTTTTTTCTTTTTTGAGTACTCTAAATTAAGGGTGGCCCCAAAAAAATTATTTTTGCGTAGGGGCCTAAGATTTCTAGTTTCGCCACTGGCTACATCCTTAGACGCATATACTTAGAAGCAAGTATAAAAGTCCCTTTTCGTTTCCATTTCTGTCTGTCATAATTTTGGTCAAGTAACACTTTCTAGTAAAAATATACGAAACTGAAATTTAGGCAGAACTTTTATATGTGCTCTCTACAAGAAAAATGCCAATGAGTAAATTATTCCTTACCATTCTAAAAACCTTTTGGGAAAGAAACATAAAGCTATTCTGTAATGCGTAAAACTGACGCTAAACAAAAATCGTCAAATATGTGCAATTTAAACAATTTTATTCTAAAAAACAAACACCACTTTTGAGGATCATATAAAACTGAATTTCATTAAATATAAAATTCTGGATTTCTAAAATTCTGCATATCGTAACTTGGAATTATTGGTACGAAATTAATATTTGTCTGATTTAGAATACGTTTTGCAAAAAATTGCATTTGAAAACTTTAATCCGTGCAGTTATCTTCGAGAATATCTGTTGCCACAAAAATCATAATCATTCATATTTTAGATAATTTCGATTATATGAGGATATATATATTTTGTTTTAATCTTAGTTCTTTCGAATACGTTTTATAGCTCATTTTTCTGATCGACAATTTTTCCTACAGTGCCCACATTAAAATTAATGTTTCGCAACGTTTTACTTTTTCTGCGTTCTATATCTATTCTATATCGTAAAAACATGTAAATATATCTATATCGTAAAAACATGTAAATATATCTATATCGTAAAAACATGTAAAATATGTTTATTTCTAGAATGAGACTTTTATTAATTTTTTTTTAACATCAGGTTTTTTCATTTTATCAATATGATTTAAATCTTAGTTCAGATTGATATTATTAAGTAGAGAAAAAAGAAATCTATCTCTTTTCGACGTCAGTTGGAAATTAAAATAGCAATTTTACTCACGAAATACTAGTACCAGTACACATATCGATGTTTATCGGCAACATCGTATGTTGCAACTAAAATTTTATTTGTTTTATTCGTGTATTTATTCATTTATTTATCTTATTTTCTATTAGAGGGAAAATGTATATGGCATTCTTATTAGTGGAAAAATTCGAAAAACTTCGTCGAATATGTTTTTTTCATTTTATCAATATGATTTAAATCTTAGTTCAGATTGATATTATTAAGTAGAGAAAAAGAAATCTATCTCTTTTCGACGTCAGATGGAAATTAAAATAGCAATTTTACTCACGAAATACTAGTACCTACCTACATATCGTAGTTTATCGGCCATCGTATGTTTTGCAACTAAAATTTTATTTTGTTTTATTCGTGTATTTATTCATTTATTTATCTTATTTTCTATTTAGAGGAAAATGTATATGGCATTCTTATTAGTGGAAAAATTCGAAAACTTCGTCGAATATGTTTTTTCATTTTTTATCAATATGATTTAAATCTTAGTTCAGATTGATATTATTAAGTAGAGAAAAAAGAAATCTATCTCTTTTCGACGTCAGATGGAATTAAAATAGCAAATTTTACTCACGAAATACTAGTACCTACATATCGTATGTTTATCGGCAACATCGTATGTTGCAACTAAAATTTTATTTTGTTTTATTCGTGTATTTATTCATTTATTTATCTTATTTTCTATTTAGAGGGAAAATGTATATGGCATTCTTATTAGTGGAAAAATTCGAAAACTTCGTCGAATATGTTTTTTCATTTTATCAATATGATTTAAATCTTAGTTCAGATTGATATTATTAAGTAGAGAAAAAAGAAATCTATCTCTTTTCGACGTCAGTTGGAAATTAAAATAGCAATTTTACTCACGAAATACTAGTACCTACATATCGTATGTTTATCGGCAACATCGTATGTTGCAACTAAAATTTTATTTTGTTTTATTCGTGTATTTATTCATTTATTTATCTTATTTTCTATTTAGAGGGAAAATGTATATGGCATTCTTATTAGTGGAAAAATTCGAAAACTTCGTCGAATATGTTTTTTCATTTTATCAATATGATTCAAATCTTAGTTCAGATTGATATTTAAGTTAGAGAAAAAGAAATCTATCTCTTTTCGACGTCATTGGAAATTAAATAGCAATTTTACTCACGAAATACTATTACCTACATATCGTAGTTTATCGGCAACATCGTATGTTGCAACAAAAATTTTATTTGTTTTATTCGTGTATTTATTCATTTATTTATCTTATTTTTCTATTTAGAGGGAAATGTATATGGCATTCTTATTAGTGGAAAATTCGAAAACTTCGTCGAATATGTTTTTTCATTTTATCAATATGATTCAAATCTTAGTTCAGATTGATATTATTAAGTAAGAAAAAGAAATCTATCTTTTTTCGACGTCAGTTGGAAATTAAAATAGCAATTTTACTCACGAAATACTAGTACCTACATATCGTATGTTTATCGGCAACATCGTATGTTGCAACTAAAATTTTATTTTGTTTTATTCGTGTATTTTCATTTTTATCTTATTTCTATTTAGAGGGAAAATGTATATGGCATTCTTATAGTGGAAAAATTCGAAAACTTCGCGAATATGTTTTTTCATTTATCAATATGATTTAAATCTTAGTTCAGATTGATATTATTAAACTAGAGAAAAAAGAAATCTATCTCTTTCGACGTCAGTTGGAAATTAAAATAGCATTTTACTCACGAAATACTAGTACCTACATATCGTATTTATCGGCAACATCGTATGTTGCAACTAAAATTTTTTTTGTTTATTCGTGTATTTATTCATTTATTTATCTTATTTTCTATTTAGAGGGAAAATGTATATGGCATTCTTATTAGTGGAAAAATTCGAAAACTTCGTCGAATATGTTTTTATTTGGAAACTTCAGCTCACTCATACTTTTTAATTAATGAGTTTCCAGGCTTATCTGCCTTTAGTTTCTCACTAATGAGCTTCATTTGGACTGCACATTCATAAAACTGCTATATAGATTAAGGACTCCATTAGTGATTATTTTGAATTTTTTATTTAATTATTTTAATTTTTGTGATACATATTTCAACTAATTTTCAAATGATTAGAATCTGTTTGCAATAAATAGCAATACATTAATTTGCAATTTGAGAAATAATTGTAAAAACTCAATTGTACTTAGTAACTTTGGTAAGTTTATTACAATTTAAATTTTAAACATTTTACTAAAATGCACAGGAAAACCCTTGTCGCTTGTATACTCGAATATAAGGCAAAACATGGCAATATTAATTAATTAAAATAATTTTATAACACTTTTCACTTGTGCATACTGACGGATAAACTTTTAATTTTTTGACAGAATTTTTGTTTTATGCCCTTATACAATATTGCTTACTTCTTTCATCCATAACAAGATGCGAATGTAAAACGAAATATTTATTTTTAGAAATTTTACAGTTTCAGAAGCATTTATGATTACTTTAGAAAGCTTTTAATAATTTTAAATGGAATAAAAAAATCTTCAGTTACTTTAAATTCTAACAAAATTTCCAGCTTAAAAATAATACAAATCATCATCTTACCCATACGCCGAAGTAGAAAGAGAAGTTTCATCACTTCAATCTGTGAATCATCAGGTTCTGGAATTAGTTTGATTATTTTCTTGTATCTGTCATTTTCATATCTGGGATTTTCTAATCTTTCTAACTAATAGGTATTCACATTTTCATCACCTTACTGTCATAGTTTTGACATGTAATAGAATTCTTTCTTCTCTCGCGGAAAGGTGCTCTTAAAAAAAATTAAATGTTATCTTCATTACCACATTTTCCAAAAGAGAATAAATAATTAATCATTTGTCCAGCTGGGTAATTCTCCAGAAAATTACGAGCAGTGAAACTAATTGCTTCCTCAAACGAAACTTTGACGCGAAAAAGTTTTTCCAGTCGGTGTAGGAACTCGTTAGGTGTTTTGGGCAGGTGACGGTAGATGGCGCAACTTGTCAAAAATCAGAGCTAAAGGATAAGCCGAGTTTAATTTCAGTGATTAAGCTATCTGTGAGAAATACGAGAAGACGTTTAGAGTTTTTGTCGTGCAAAAAATAAAATGATGCAGCATAATGTTTGAGAAGTGGATGTTTTAGTTTCTATGCTACTTCTTTCGTTAAAACTTTCTGAGCCTGTAATATTTATTTCTTCGAGCAACTTGAAGCCAGCGAAAGAAAAAGAGAATCCATACACACACACACACACAACAAACAAAAAAAAAAAAAAAAAAAAAAAGGAAAAGGGTGATTTTTATTCTTATATACATACAGAGTTTATTCCTAACTTCACAATATATTTCAAGTTTTTACGGATAAAAAAAGCATAATGGATTTATAGGATAACAATATAACAATATGCTTTATTAAATATTCCATTATGCTTTTTGCCCATATTAAATATTCCATTATCCTATTATCTATATTAAATATTCCATTAATGGATAACAAAAAGCATATAGGATTTTTTTAAAAGAAAAAAATCTAAAATTCGTATAACTGACTACTTTGCATTATTAAATACATGCACAATGTCTTATTCTAGAAATAGTTATCGTCTTAAGAAAGTTACTATTAAGAAAATTTTAATTCTAACCAGAATATGTTTATAATTATGATTTTTTTATTTAATTGGTAGGGATTTTATTACATGCACTGTAAAATATTTCAGAATTTCAATAATTTAACCACCCACCAATATACATGATGATCAGAGAGGTAATGTTTTCAGTCCAAAAATTCGATAGTGAGTTTTTAGTGAATAAGCGCGAATTAGGATTAGTAACACGTTTTTTACTGTTTTTACGATGCTGTCTATCCGTCTGTGTGTATATGTAGGACAATTTTTTTCCCTCCAAGATAACTCGTATATCAAACTTCCCAAAACTTCACAGTGGCCGAGCGGTAAAGTCGCTGAACTCTCGTAGTTTGGTTCTGGTTCAAACTTCGGCGAATGGTTCTTAAATTTGGTATTTAAAATAAGTATGGGATTAAGAACAACAAACATTTTTAAGAAACAAGAAAGTTTAATAAAAAAATTTAACTTTAATTTAGGAGTTCCATTTGACCTTATTATTTTGCTTCGAAGCACATGTTAGTGTTCGCTCAGTGTTTCGAGCAGAAATGGATTTAATATATGCAGTGTTTCTAGATTTTGTGTTCGAGTTTAATTTATTTTTAATATTCGACGTAATAGTTATTTCCTTATTTAGACTATCTTGTTATAGACTGCAATTTCTATCTTTCTACAGCGTTTACTATTTTATAGAATTAGTCTGATTGGCATGTTTTGTATTCAAATCAAATGAAAGGCCTTTTTTGGTGTATTATACAATAACTTTGACCTCAACGGATTTTGGATTCGTGGAAAATTAGACAAAATGCTGTTCTTATTCCAGTGTGGAAGGGTTGAACTGATAAAGATACAAATTATTTTATATTTATTGAAGTTTTAGTAGATTTGCGTCATTATTAGTTCAGAAACGAGCTGTGCGATTTGCTTCTTTCGATACACCAACCCCCTAATGACGACGTGCCGAAACATGTAAATTCTCTATATTTTTTTAATTCTTTATTATTCACCCTACATTTCTTTTTTGTGTCATTTTTTGCACCTTTTATTTTTTTCAATATGCTTTGCAGTTTTTATCTCATTGCTGGACTAGTTTATTTATTCACAGGGGTTTATTGCTTAAGCAACCAATTTTAATTTTTTATGTTGGCCTTGCTCCAGGTTGAAGATTACAGTACTGCATTTAAATGTTTTATTTTTCAATATTACCACCAGTTGCTACACCTTACAGCATATAATTAGGTACTGGCTTAGAACGACTTCACTGGTATATGAAGAGTGGAATTTGTTATACAGGGTGGTCATATACAAAACTTCATCGATAAATGAACCCCTAGCGGCCTTCCCGCTCAAACAACAGAAATGAAGTTTCAGATATTGTCACTTGAAGGTATTTGCTCGAGATTATGATGATTTAAAATAACAGAATTCTAACAGTTACGTTTACAGTGAAGCAATTTCGAAATTTGCGAATGCCAACATTCACTTTTTTTCGCACAAACTGATTAGCGCACTGAAAAACTGTAATGGCATTGGAATGGCACATGTAAGACGAAAATACAGACGTAAAACACTTGAAAAGAGCAGATCATCATCATTCTTCATCATATCAATAAGGAATGATGAAGACAACAGGTGGCCGCTGAAGATATTGTTACGAAATGTACAGACGCGGTAAGATAGCTTCCCCGCAAAGCAGTTTTAAGGTTGCCATAAAGTGGCAAGGTTGCCACATTTGGCGACAAAATTGGCGATATGCCATGGACTGATGGAGAACCTTCTGGAACGAATTCTTTACCGGTTTAGCCTAGAATGTTCTCGAACACAAGCCGAAAGCTATATAAACCCTGCTGGTCCACAGTCAGTTAGTCTGTGTGTGTGTGTGTGCTTCGTCTAGCGAGCTGATAGTCAGTCATTGAGCGAGTGTCTCGAAGCCTAGCGCCGAGATGGTCGTCGAGTGCATCGAGCTTTTAGTGCATCGCGATTTAGTGCATCGTCGAGTTTTGTCTTAGACAGTGCTGAGTCGAGAACTACAATCTTATGTATCGTCGAGTGCATCGCGTGGAGAGTCTCGAGAGTACGTGGAGTTCCGAGAACGAACAAGCAGAGTTGAGAGCTGTACTCGGGTGCTTTGCAGTGAAGCTGTCTCCACCGTTATTGCCTGGCAGTGTGAAGGCTGTGTCGCTGAAAGAGTCAGCATGTTTATCACAGTTCGACAACTGTAAAAGTGATTTTGTAGCTGTTGGAGAATTACGTAATTCCAGAACTGCAGTAGTAAAATATCGTTAATGATCTTGTATGAATGCAAGTTGATGCTTCTCCACACGCACCCCATGTGTTCGGCAAGTGCTGCAATAGCGCTTTGGAAACAGTCATCTCCCCTAACTTTGCCGTTTCGTGGCCACCACGATCCCCCGATCTCATTCCGATGGATTTCTGGTTCTGAAATTATCTGAAATCTGAGATGTTCACATCATATCCGCGAGATATGTCAGAATTGAAAGATGCTATGAAACGTGAAGTTATACAGATTCCTCCTGCGATGTTACATTCGTCAGTGTTGTCAGCAATATTCGACATACAATGCGTTATCGTCTGCGAAAGTGTGCACTTGTAAACTTGTACTTCCAGTAAAAAGTTTTTTCCCCTCTCCTCTCTTGTGTTGTCCCTAGTCTTTTACAGTATTCTTATTTGCAAATGCTTTACGCGCATCATTTTTATCATGCATGTATCGTTCCAACACCATTCATAGTTTCTCAATGCGTTAGACAATTTGCATAGAAACAAAGTAGTTGTTGCTTTCTACAATTTTGCCATTTTTTTCTCTGTAACCGTAACCATAAAAGCTATATCGTTTTAAATCATCAATCTTGTGCGCATACGTTCAAATAACTTTAACTGAATTTTCATTTCGATTGGCTGAGCGGATGAGGGTTCATATATCGGGAAGATTTTATACGACCACCCGGTATATATGTATATGTATATGTATTTGCATTTTGGCAGTTGAGCCAGATGGTTTGGTACTTAATTTCCCGAGCGGTTCGGCTTTTTCAGGAAACGGCATAAAAAATAATCGTGTGTACTCACCAAGTCTGTCGCAAAAACGGCAAGTATTTTGACTCAAACTACTTCAAGAGCGTGCCCTCCCCCATTACCATGTGGATATTAATTAAGCTAATTCTCCCCTCCGTTGAATTTAGCGAGTGAAATAATTTTTTCTTCCTATGGTATCTTCGTCACAGGACTGGTTGCTAAAATGGTACTTTATCTCCTATTTGGCTACTTTATAATTTCCACACTAACACATATGCTGTATATTACTCTTACCTTAAACTATCGAAACTAGTCCTGTAGTCCTGGAAAATTTCCAAATATAACGTTGATTTTTATTGTTTGACTTCTAAAATAAACACTGAAAATAAATAATGCAAGAAATATAGGTCTATGTACAGTCATTGTCTTTCCAATTTTATTCATAAGCTTCATATTTGCGGAACACTGTCGTCCATTTATTTAATGCATATATGAGGTGTGATCCAAAAAAGGTTTCCAAGGCAAATGAAAAAGTATTTATTAACAATAGAAACAAGATACAAATGGGAATCAAGAGACACATCTGGCCTTCACTTTTCCACATAGTCGCCAAACCTGTTTAGGCATTTGTCAGAACGTTCGACCAACTTGTTTATCCCTTCTTGGTAGTAATCAGGGCCCTGCTCATTGAGCCATTTCTCGGCAGCTGTTTTCACTGCATCGTCTGAGGTGAACCGTGTTCCGGATAAGTATCGCTTCAACGCCGGAAAAATGAAATAGTCACTTGTAGCCAAATCGGGGATGTATGGAGGGGAGGTGATTCCAGACCTCCCACTTGACCTTTGCAGCAATTCCTGAGTCTGGCGAGCTGTATGGGGCCTGGCATTGTCATGCAGAAGAATGACGCCTTTGCTCAGTAATCCAGGCCGTTCTGCGTGGCTTTACGCAATTTCGTTAAGGTGGCACAATAGCGATCGGCCTTAATGGTACGGCCACGCTCCAAATACTCGATTAGGATAACACCAGTCGTATCCCAGAAAACGGTTGCCATCACTTTACCGGCAGAGGGTGTGAAATTAAACTTCTTCCTCGTCGATATGATCCAGCGTGTTTCCATTCCATCGTGGCTCTTTTGGATGTGGGGGGGGTGAAGTGATGAAGCCATGTTTCATCACCGGTAAC